ATGAAGTTTATTATTGAACTACAGAACAGTTTTATGGAGGGATTGAGAACTGCTTTGAATTTATTTTCAAAACTAGGCAATCGTCAACCTTCTCGCCAGACTATAAAAGGTTTTTGAAACAGCGAAAAGCTGAATTACTTAACAGCAATAGTTTACACTTTGAAATGCTGTATTTAAACTAAATGGATTGTTCATTACCATTATAAAACCATCATAAATTAAAGTGGATGCCAAATGGTTGCTGAATTGTTACTTGGGCATTGTCTTCCCTAGAATCTCTTCCTTTCATGTAAGGCCTGTACTCGAAAAAAAAAATGCACCAGACAAAAATGTTCACCAAAAATTTATTTTAAGTCAAATTTTCTTGAAACCTTCAAGGAACGAACCAATACATATGGATTATGTTTCAGCATAATTACTTTATTCAATTATCTTTCCATCGCTGGAAGCCCGCACCTTTCCCTTAATAGCCCTCATTACATTTTGTGCAATGGTGGAGTTGACCTTTTTGGTCACTTTCATCCATTCTTTCTTCAACTCCAGCTCGTTCTTAAGCACCTTGGACGATTTTCTAACTTTGGCCTTCATTATGCCCCAAAATCTTTCCACCGGACGAATCTCTGGTGAATTTGGGGGGTTGGCGGTTTTTGGTACAAAAACAACGTTATTGTCTCTGTACCAATCCAACGTGAATCGCGCGTAATGGCATGATGTCAGGTTCGGCCAAAATAATTTCTCGCCTCCGTGGTACCGCAGGAAGGGCAACAGACGCTTCTGGAGGCACTCGGTGCGGTAAATTTCACTGTTGATGGTACCCTTTGTAATGTACGGTTTACTCAATTTACCGCATGGGCATATGGCCTGCCAGAGCAAGTATTTTTTGGCAAATTTGTCCACTTTCTTCTTCCTTATGTCTTCCGGAACATCAAACCGTGATTTGGCAACGTAGAACTCCAGCCCCGGTATCTGCTTTGCGTCTGCCTTGATGTAGGTTTCGTCATCCATAACCACACACATCGGTTTCGTTAACCACTCTCGATACAGCTTCCTTGCGCGGGATTTGGCCGCCGTGTTTTGTTGATCACGCCGGTTCGGTGCCTTCCGGAACTTGAATACACGAAGAACAGCTCGTTTCATGGTTTGCTGAACGAACCAGGCGGAACACTTTGCCTTCAGAGCCGCGTCACCTTCCGAGTCTTCACAGGGTCAGCTGTCTTTCATTTTCTTCCACTTCCAGCCCGATTTTACCACCACAGTTGTATGGGTGATTCCCAGTTGTCTTCCGATCCATCTTATGGTCGGATTTTCCATGACAGCGCGCAAAATTCTCCGGCGATTTTCTTCTTGTTTCGATAACATCTCAATAACCACTGAGCCGATTGTTATGAAATTTTGCACATGTAAACAATTCACTCCAAACTAGTTATACCCAGATTTTCATCAATTTTTACCCACGGATAAAAATGGTGCATTTTTTTTTCGAGTACAAGCCTTATTTTGTCTTCGATACAATCCGGCTAGCTTCAGCCTTCAGTCTGATGTACGTTTCCGCCATCGTCTCAAAGTACCACTCGTGTCTATCCCAGCTCTTCTGATCACACAGTTTATCCGGAAATCCGTACTCGTGCATAATCTGCCATAGTTGATCTCGATCGATTGTGTCGTATGCGGTTTTTAAATCGATGAACAAATGATGTGTGGGCACGTTGTATTCGCGGCATTTCTGCAGAACCTGCCGAATCGCGAAAATTTGGTCCGTGGTAGCGCGGGCACCCATGAATCCCGCCTGGTATTGCCCCACGTACTCTCTTGCAAATGGTGACAGGCGGCGGCATAGAATTTGGGAGATTACCTTGTAGGCAGTGCTCAGCAGTGTGATCGCGCGATAATGTTTACAGAACCTTAGATGTCACAGCATTTATACTTGTATCGGCCCAGTAACCATGGATTTCACTTCTTTTTTCTTCCGGGACGGCTCTCTTGCGGACCAAGCATAGATCGTTTCCTTGTGCTATCCTCCTTGCAGCGATGCAGATTTTCTGCAGTCGCCTTTTTGACCTCTGTTTTGTTTTCATAAAAAACACACAGAAAAAAAATCACCCAACTTGAAATGGGCATCAATTCGGCATTATAGAAAGCTTACAAGCAACAAAATGTTTCTGACTTCTAAGTCTTAAGAACTTGTGGTATATTTGATTATAGGGCCGCTTGACAGCATTTGATAATATAATTCTCTGTAGCAACTGTCATTCTGTCGATTTGCTTGTAAATCGGATCATTGCTAATGTGTAGTTTTTGGGTATTACGCATCCTGAATTGAAGTTAATATACAGTTTATTATTGCTTATGGTTAGTTGGGAATAGATACTAATGCAAAAAATTTACAGATTTAGAAAGCTTTCAACTAACAACTGTGGAAGTGCTTAATGAACACTCAGTTGAGAGCACACAATAAGCTAATATGAGATAAGCAATAAGCTTGAAATGCGAAAAAGAAGAAGAAGGAGAACAAGAAGAGTGAGATGATTAAACGTTCTATGTAAACAAGATCATAAAATTGTAGATTTTTAGTAACATAATTTGCGGCCTTCCTGTCTGGTAGAATGAAAACTATACTTTACTATAAGAGCTTGGATTTTAGATTCTGGCTGCCCCTAGTAGCCACGAAGGTCTCTAATAGCCCGATAAGGACCCTTATTGCAATATAAGGTTCTAAGTTTTTCATCAACCGAACATCAGCTTCATACTGCTTATCGGGCTTGTTGGTTACTTGGGGCGCCCTTTGTATTGTATATGGTTGTTCGCCGTATTTGAACTATGATTTGAATTTATTCAAGAATATTTGTATACAAACCAACGCAATTCTCCATTTTGTTTGCCTTAATGGCTGATGACATCGTTTCAAACCCTCCACTAAAAATACGTGAGAAACGCAACTGTCCACGCTAGCAAATAGAAAACCGAACAACTAGACACATACAGCGGAAACGCCACGTACAGCATTGCAGCCAAAGCGAACAGAGGCAAAAAGGCAATAAACCAACGGATCCACTCCCACCGTCAACGACGACGACGACGACGACGACAACAGCCACAGCGTCACCGTTCGAGCTCCGATATTGGCTCAAATTCAGTTATGTTTCTCCCACACACATGTGTGAACCCCGCCGACCGAGCGAACAAACACGCCTCACATATGCACGCTCATATGGAGGGAACAACCTCATATGACGAGCCGACGGACGACACGAGAGCGAAAAAAGAAGGCCGGTACGGATGCGACGAAAGCGACGAAAGCGACGGCATCACATACGACCTCACCCTCTCGGAAATCCGACGGATCTATAGATTGCATGTTGCCAATTTCGCTAATCCTGGGACCCTTTTTCACCCTCGCACCCTATAGAAGCACATTTGCGACGAGTGAAGTGAAGGGATTCATTTACCACTTCCTTCCCCCTTGCATCAAGACCCTACCTCCGAAACCAGTGTGCGTTGCTTAGGAATTAGAAATTTAGGATTCGCCTTGTATGTAGCTACCTACCTAGGTATATCCTGAGCAGCGATTTAATTATGCGCATGTCCTTTGCTCGAGTTTTTTGGTGTACCGACGGCTGGGAAAGGATACAGTCAGTGGTGCCGATAGAGAGCCGAGCCGGAATGGGGTGTCATACAGTATGTGGAAGCATTGGGTCACTCACCTGCGGAGCTCACGATCGTGAGCGATTCGCTAGTGTAGCTGAGCGAGAGAGCGACAGCAGGTGAGCGTTCACTGGAAAGTGAGTTTCTCGCGCGTGTTTGCTCTCTTTTGGTCGGGGGAGCTTTTCTTGCCTCTCGCTGAGTGCGCTCAGTGCGAGTGGAAAACGGGGTGATGTTTTTGTTTTTTCGCTTATGCTCGCTCATTCGGTGGGTGTTATGTACGATGAGCTTGGTTGTGTGAGAATGCGCCGCTGTGAAGGGATTGTGATGTGTGTGCGCGAAAGCTCATGTATCGTGAGAGAGCGAACGGTGCGCGAGTGTGAGTGAGTGTGGGGTAAGGACTCACATGATTTCAGGCAGCAGGTCCCGTTGTCGGTTGCGGTTCTGTGCCATGCGGGGGAGTGTGTGAGCATAAGAATAAATTGTAAGAATCAAAAATTCAACAACTCTTATTATTTTCCGATGCGGGAGCGAGGAGCCGGAGAGCGAGTGAACGAGTGCAGGTGGGAATTGTGTTGCTTTGCTTCTCGCTTGCTCGACGGTGGATGTCGGGCTCACTCACTCACTCACTCCAGACAGCAGAGCCTGTTTGGCACGGCAGCGGCGACGGCGGCTTGTGTATGATTTCCGAATGTGTTTTGCGATATATGTTTGAGAGACTCCGGCCGTCGCGCTACAACTTTTCAGTCGGTCTCAGGCAGTCACGGCGTAAAGCTCAAAATGTGCGGTTCGATAGTTGAAATTTGCTTTATTTAGAGTTTTTTGGACACCCAATACACATTACACTACCAATTGAAAGAGTTGCAATTCGGACACCTACAGAGCGATTGTGAGTGAGCGAGTGCTGCGGACGAACAGGTGAAGAAAAGTGAATTAAGTTCGTTTTTGCCAGAAAAGAACCAACTCCGTTGATCGGATCGGTTCGAATGCAGTTCAACCGGAGAAATTCGCGACCAAAACAGAAAATCTTGCCGCGAAGATCCTCGTCGTAGTTGAATGCACTACCGTAAGCGAAAAAAACGTAAATTTTTAAAACCTTTGGGCTAACGCAAAAAAAAGAAGAATTTTGTTTCAACTGTGTTTCGGAATCTTGAAAAATTGTGCAATTTTAGTTACGTTCTTCCTCGAATTCATGAGGCAGTGATTTAAGTTCTCCAAAACGGAAAATATCCATCAAGAAAAAAAAAACAACAAAATCTTGAATCCAGTGACAAAGTCTACACAAACGAACCACCATCGCCAAACCCAATCCAGAGATCCTGGGAATTCCTGCCAGCAAACAAAAGATCCGAGGTCGGGATTTTACGGTTGGAAATTCCTTCTTCTGCCTGAGGGGACCCATTCCCAGGCCTTCTCAACGTCTCACATGTGAACCGATGCATGATCTAATTTATTGCTGCAGCAGTCCCGGGTCGACCAAAGTTCAAAGGACTCGTTCAACTCCGCTACCTACCTGGTGATACCGTGCAAGGGAAGGAGCCCTGAAATAACATCACCATCGACCGAGCCCAAACCCAACGAAGGGATCGTAAACGTACATTTATCACCAGTCTCATTCTTAAAGGTGGATGAAGGATGCCAGGAGGTCAATAAAGCATGAAGTTGCTTCTTCAGGTGATCGTCGTCGTCGTCGTCCTCATCAACGTAGGCCATGTCACCGAAGGAGTGCAACTGCTTGCACTATCGGGGCAAACAACGAGATGATCGATCGGAGCAGGCGGTGGTAGTGTGATTAGTAGTTCCCACATGCTTGGGTCCCATTTCGAACGTCGCTCAAAATTGTCACCTTTCGGCTGAAAAGAAAAGAAGAAGAAAAAAACAGAAAACAGAAACAATTTCGGAACATAAGAAAAATGGTGTTTATTTTTTATTGAGTGAATCAAAATTCAACCAAAATAATGGTAGTGAAATCGCTTCAGTAGAATCAAAACAACTTTCGGGATTTTTGGTAGTGCAAACGAGAAGCGAAGCAAAAAAGCTGAAATTATGTAAATTTACGTTTAGTGGCTCTAGGAAAAAAGAAAAAAGGAAGAAGCGAAAAAATTAAAAGGTAGAACAAAATTACAATTAACTCGATTTGTGCTTTGTGTTTGTTCTTTACTGTACGTAGAGAGTGAGATGTTTCGGAATTATAGCCGTAATTAACGATCTTCTCTGCGTTATACGTCTAATCACTGGGAAATTTCGAAAATTGATGTGAAATTTTTCGTGTTTGTGTGTGTGTTCGTGCATTAGCAGCCAGCCAAGGAAGGAAAGAAGGGGAGAGAAGAAATCAAAATACACGTAAAGGATTTTAAAACACTTCGCGTTTAAGGAAGTGCTTGAGACAGGTATGTGATCTTTTGTTTTTGTATAAGTGGAGCAATTTTACGTTGCATTGGTTTTTAAACATTAATTGGCTGGCATTCAATGGCCAGTGTGCCGTCTTCAAGCCGTGCCTGATGCGAAAACTTTATTTTGCAAGGATTGATAACCAGCTGCTATTTAACACTCCAAACACGATGCCTCCGGAAAAATGTGTATCGGCAAATTTGCAATGTTTGAAAACGCATTGCTCAGCAATTTATCGATAGGTTTTGAATCTATTGTTACCGAAAAAAAAATTTAAAGTCTGTTGTTTGAAATGGCGCCAATATATTTGAAATTTGTCAATCAATGGCTGAGCTATGATTTTTCAAACATTGCAAGTTTGGGGCCTCCCTTAGCTCAGTCGGTAAAGGCGCAGCTACAAGGCAAGACCATGCTGGAGGTGACTGGTTTCATTTCCCTGTCTGGTCTAGGAATTTTTCGGGTTGGAAAACTTCTCGACTTCCCTGGGCATAGAAGTATGATTGGACTTGCCACACAATTATACCAATGCAAAAATGGTACAGGCATCGAAAGCTCTCAATTAATAACTGTGGAAGTGCATCTAGAACACTAAGTTGAGAGCACGCAATAAGCTAATATGCGATATGCAATAAGCTTGAAATGCGAAGAAGAAGAAGAAGTTTTCCGTTACACATTTTACTTAAATTATGATTGTTGTGATCAGTAATTTGTAGCCTTTGATCGATACATTTTATTTATTCCGCTTGCCTCTAGTTGCTATAATCAGAACAGCTTCAGTCTAATTCGAGCGGGAAATAATAATTATAGTCTATGTGAAATGTGAAAAATAGAAGGCCGCAATAAGATCACGTTACCTTTTGTTGTGTACAATTATTTTGATATTTATAAAAGCCAGTGAATAGGCGTGTGACAGTTGAAATCTTCAAACCTTTAAATCAAAAAGATTTGTCCTTAACCGGAACGGACTTTACTCTAAGTGTGTAGATTTTTTCAGTGTGCAGTTGCCTCCTGTTATTTTTGGAAAATGATGATCGAGCGTGAACAAATTATCGATATAAACATGAACAAATGAATAATTTTGATGCCAATATGTGCTTATTGAACTCTTAAGGTCTTAATTACTCAATGCAAACAAACTAGGCGTTAATATTAATTCTCATATATTTTATTCATGGTTTGTTGAATTATCCTTTAAATTCAGTTCAATATACTTTGCCAAAAACAAACATTGTTTTAAATGTGTTTAAAGTTAAAAAAAAAATCGTTTGATTTCCCTTTATACATACCAGAATAACTTGATTTTATCTGATATTTCTGAAGTAACGAGCTTCAATCTTATCAAAATACAGCGCCTTTCTGTTTTTGACAACATGTGTTCTTGATTCTCTATTTTCAATAAAATCTACCAAGCCGTTACTAGAAAGATCTTTAGAGATCATGGCTGGTGTATTTAAAATTATTCAGAAAGCGGTGGATCCAAACAGGGGACCTCATTTTTTTTTTTTTTTTTATTATAGAGATTTTTAGTCATATGGCTAGATTATCTCTTAAGATTAAAAAATGGAGGAAAAAAAATCAGAAGGATATTCCCAATCTTGGCTGTGGTACATTTATCTTGGTACAATGAAAAGGTGTAGAAAACTGCCAAAAGGGCCAACAAAACGGAAATACAAACAAGGAACACTCAGATATTGTGGTAAAGGTTCGCCTCCTTTAGGAAGATGATGAGGGCGGCTGCTGCCGGGAACTCGTCGCCCAACAGGTTCCGAATGCTGATTGACAACAGGGGACCTCAATGTAGTCGTGCTTGGTGTTGTTTAACGATAATTTCATTAATGTTCGTATTATGTGGTTTAAAGTGAGTGGGAGTGATAAAGATAAAGTATTCTTCTTTTTCATCGCATTTCAAGCTTATTACTTATGGCATATATGTATTAGCTTATTGCGTGCTCTCAACTAAGTGTTCTAGATGCACTTTCACTGTTTTGAATTGAGAACTTTCGTTGCCTGTACCATATTTTTCATTTGATTAATTATGTGGCAAGTACAATCAGGCATGGAAAATCATTTACATTCATTTGCCTCTAACTTTTTTGATCAACAGCATTCCGCAAAATGTTGTATAGAACTTTTGTAGGTTTTGTTATTAGCTACAACTTTTGTTAAAAACTCAAATCAGTATCTCTTATGCATCACGAATTAGAGCGGGCAGAACTCGTTACTGTTTTTCAGTGAATGTATTTTACATTCACTGAAAAACAGTAGTGGATTCTGTTTGCTCTGGTTCGTCATGCATAAGAGATACGGATTTGAGTTTTTAACAAAAATTGTAGCTAATAACAAAACCTACAAAAGCTCTATACACTAATTTGCAAAATTGTGTTGATGAAAAAAGTTAGGGACAAATGAATGTAAATGAATGCACGAAATGAATGCAAATGATTTTTCATGCCTGAGTACAATCATACTCTATGACCAGGAAAGTCGGGAAATTTTCCAATCCGAAAAATTCCTACGCCGGACTGGATATCTAACTCAGCTTGTTTTGTAGCTTTGCCTTTACCGACTGAGCTAATGGAGGTCCACAAATAAAATAAACTGTGTCAATTTGATCTGTTTTGCTTCGAATTTGACTTTTCCCCGAAAGTTATTTGTCTGAATATAACTTCTTCCCAAAAAAATTCTCCAGGATCCAGGAAATGCATCACTATACAATTTCAATAATTTAGATCAAAGTATATGTTATTTTCAAGAAAATACTGCATTTTGATTAACTCTTGAGTGTTACTTTTCGTAATTTCACTTCTTCCGAATAGATTATCTTTTTTTATTATTATTAAAGTCACTTTAACGCTCTTGGGTCATTCGTTACTTGTCCGGGGGAGAGATTTGAACTCGTGACTTTGGCGTGAGAGGTATGGATACTAACCACTACGACGGGGTCGCCCCTATCCGAATAGATTAAATATATACACTATATGTGGTCTAAATGATTAAAATCTGGTGACTCTCAGCACAATGTGTCGTCTTTGATATCTCCCCAATGGACAAAGAGATGAACTAGCCTTAGGCTAAAAATCTCTCTAATAAAGGAAAAAAAAAAAAAAATCTCCCCAATGGTCAGAAAACAGCTTATGCTTTACAGAAGGAGTCAAATCCAAAAAAGGACGGTGCTTTTGAGAATTTTCAGAAGGCATTTTCAAAAGTTTTTATCTATCAAATAACAGTCCAAAATACAAAGAATGAGTCAACTCCAAAAGCAACATAATTTAGGAGTATTGTATGATATAATTTTTGAAAACTTTTATCCGTTAAAAAATCAAACAAAATCAAAGGAGTCAACTCAAATCAAGAAATAATTTGTGCATTTCCATTGGTTTTTTTTTGCAAAGAAAAAAAATACACGCAGTACCCGTTCAACTTTGGCATGGTTTGATTTTGGCAACAAAACCAGAAGGTCGTTCGATTTCGGATCGGGGTTCGATTAAACGGTTTTTGAAGATTATGTATTTTTGCTCCATGCAATCACTATTTTTATTAAAATTAAAATTACTAAAGTCTTCTCGGTGGTCCAAAATATTCGGAATCATAAAATAAACTTCAAAATAAATCCGTTCGGTTTTGGCAACACTAGATTTCCGGGCTTGTTGACAAAATATATATAACGGGTACTGCATTGCAATTGGATTAAAATAATCCAATACAACACAATTATGGCTACCGTCTTAATGGCAATCGTACGTATGGCAAACATCCGTATGGCTAACGTATTTATGGCTGATGTCCGGTCACCAAATTTCGGGGCAACTCCGTTAGGCATAAAGTCATATGGCATCAAGTCGTTTGGCATAATGCTGTTTGTTATAGAACCGTTTGGCATAAAGGTCATTTGACATGAAGGTAATTTGACATAATCGACATTTGGCTTAATACAACGGAAACGTTTAAATTTTAATGCAGTTAAATAGCATAAGCTCAGGGCTGGCAGCAGGTAAATTTAAAGTGGCTAGTTCAAATCAGTTACTTTTTTCACTCAAAAGTCATTAACGTCACTACAGTCAACTAGGTATTGAAGGGACCATGGATTTATAGAATTATCGACTCATAGAAAAACATGTTATTTTGATCGTCCATAATTTTAAGAATAATCCAGAATTATTTCATCTACTGAAATGTATGACTCTTTTTATTCATATGAATTCAAAAAACGGTTCAGGAATCCCGGAAAATCAAATAATTTAATTCATAATATTAAGCCAATATGAACAAAACCATGCAATAAGACTGTCAACTCCTGAAATTCAATGCGACAAGGAAGATTTTCGCTGGATAGGTTTTGGCCGTTTGCCTCAAGATTGCCCATTCAAAATGCTGGATTTGTATTTAGTTCAGTATAATAATATAATCACAAATTATTGAATCATCCCAAGTAACATTTCCAGTTTTATAGAAGTTTCATTACATTCTATATGTCTAAATCATGATCAACAGAACCTTCATAAAACCGAAATTGTTACTTGAAATTTGAGAGTTATGGGATTTGATCTACCACGCAACGGGTGTTGCTTCTAGACTATTTTTGATCTCATCCAGAGTTGCCAGAATTTATTTTCAAAAATCGGTAACATTTACAAATCTATATCGATCGGTATTGCGAAATATTTACTAAAATTCTTGGAGGAGCCGCTATATGAGGTGCAAATGGAGGGTCATTTTCGCCACATATAACCGCTCTTTGAAGTATTTTAGTAACTGTATCGCAATACCGTTAAATAACCCTCCGGCCACCCTTTCCCAATTGAAAAGCAAACTAAACTCAACGTATTGTTAAAAATTATACTTTAAATTAAACATAATTTAAATTTAAACAAATTTTCAAAAAACATTATATCATTCGAGTAGAATAATTTTACCATAGGAGTTATCGTTCGTTTACAGTATCTGATCATCAGGAAACTTTTAAAATTTGACGGACCAGATCGCTATTGGGCTAAACTGG